TGAATTTTGTGCAACCAATTTTACCAATCAGATTAATTTAATGTTATGTGACAATTTAAAGTTTGAGTTATCAAAACATAGTAACGTGATATTTACGTAATAAATAGACAATTCGAAAAATTTAATTGGCTAATTTAAACGTTCTTTTAACAAGCTATATTTTTTTCTTCCAAGTTTGGAGTTAAAACATCGTCAAAACATCGTCCAAAAATAGGTATGCTGGTATGCTAGAAAGTTCTATTTAATAAAACTTCAAGACGCTTAATTTTGTTAACTTATTTTCTATTATTTAGTTAAATGGCTCAATTTAGCTCAACAATTTCTAATGTTACTTTCGCTCCACCATTATTGATAAATAATTTTTATAAAAATAAGAAACATTTTAAAAACCAATCTTCTATACGACAAATTGATATCAAAAAACATAAATCTCAAGAAAATCGACAACCTTTTCAGTCCTTATCTAATTATACCAATAGTCTTTGTAATATTCGTGATGAATATCCCAATATATATGTGACATGTATTAGGTCAAATATATCAATGGAATATCATTACAAAGTATTACGTTTAGGTTATTATCCAAGTCATGTTAAAATGACAAAAAGAACTACTGTACATGGAGTATGCTATTCTATTCCTACCGATTTATATTATTCGCTTAAATATTAGTGGAGTTGAGGCAATCTGTTTAACTGAATATCAGTTTAATGGAAAAGTAAAATTTATAGTTAATTGGGTTAGTAATAAAAATGAAGAATCTGTAGCAAGTGAACAATCCGCAAGTCATGCTGCACAACTTTTTTTAAAGTTTAATTTATATTTTATTGAACTTGTGAAATTTATATTAATAGAAATTGCGAAGAAATAAAAATTCTAGACTCTCTGACATTCTTCTCTTTGGGTTTGATCTAAACTGTCTAGATTAAAGGCATATTAATGCTCAAACAAATTTAATTCCATCTCATATTCGAAAAAAAGAATATAATAATTTGAAATCTGAGTCACAACGAAATAAACAATTAATAAGTTTAGGAGAGAATATGCATAATAGCATTAAACAACAGTTTATACAACATAATTTTCAATATGCAAACTTAGAACATTTTACAATTCATGCTCTTAATCAAGGTATAAAGTTTCAACCTGCATCAAACAAGACTAAAGAAATAACTAATCAAGAATTGGATTCAATTGTTCATGCATGTGATGAGTTATTAGTATCTTGAGATGGATACCATCGATTGTTAGCTGTAATGCAAAGTATAATACGTGAATATTTAATTGCAGAGCAACAACAACTTATTAACAAAACTATGGATAATTTTGATACCAATAATGATATTTCAAATTAAACCTAATACAAAATTTATGTTGAGAAATTTACCATCACTTGATAATTCTACAGATTCACTTGATAATATTGAGATATTATCAACAGATGTAGGAAATGTAGCTTACCGATCTTTAACTGCACTTTTATCAATTATTATTCCTGCTCTTGTTAATAAAGAACTTCCAGTTATATTTTATAGTGACGTTATTAAATTAAAATTAGGTGGAGATGGACATGAAGTTGGAAGATCAAATTATCATATAATGTTTACAGTTTGTATCTTAAATGAAGAGAATAGTGTACTTGATCCTGCAAAACAACACTGGTAATTATTAATTATTTATTCTTCGAATCTCTTATATATTATTAATTTAAACTTTTATTTATTATAGTTATGTTTATATACTGGTATAAAAAAATTTGAATCTTTACAATCAGCTTTTGAGATTTTTATAGATGGATTAAAACAATTAGTTTTTGAGGATTTGAAGATAGTGAAAGAAAATTTTGAAAAGTAGATTTATAGTTTTCTTCTGACTGGAAGTTTATAGCACTTGTATTTGCTTGTATTGAAGATTAATGGTCTAATGTTACACTATTTTTGTTTATATTGTGACTGTTACAAAAATGAATGATGAAATATGAATAAAATATGGATTAATAGTCAAAATATACAAGGTATATAATAATTACAGTAATATATAGTACTTTTAACAAATTTGATCTAAATAGTTCATAACTAATCTGGTTATAATAAATTTATTATATGGGTCATAACTTATATACTAAATTTACTATAACCAGATCAGTTTTAAATCATTCAGATTAAACTTATTAGAAGTATTATTAATATATTAAAAAAATTATAATTTTTAATTATAGTTAGAAAAACTTAAAGATCATTAAAGTTTATTACTATTGTTCAATCTAATTGCTGTGTATCTGACGAATTACATTTAATGTTACATATTGTTGATGTTTTTCTTGAAGAGCTTTTTTACGAATTAATAAATTATCCAAATTTTGACTTCAAAAGTAAATCTAAATCAAATTCGAAATTATTACAACTACAATCAGCAAACATTAGTATTCGTGATCAAATTGAAAATACTATGGAATATATTAGAGTGAATTACTAATTTTATAATTCAAAAATTGTAGAAGGCAAATACAAATAGACTGCTTTAATGATATCAGCAAAAAAAAGTTTATTAGAAAAATTTCTAGTAACAAATTATTTATCAGGATCACGTGGTCAAAAATTAAAAGGTTGTAGTGAGATTTTTTTAGTTTATACAAATTAATGCATAGTAAAGATGAGTTGGCAGATACAACTATAGATAAATTTGAAATTAATGCACGAAATTGGGTATCTACATTCTGTTAACCTACTTTAAAAAAAATAACTGAAGAAATTATACAAGAAGGAATTTACTAATGTCAAGATGTGATATCTTATATGCATGTCTTAGCATGCTATATTCTAGCATTTATAAGATCACTAAAATTAGAAGGTTTAAAGTTGCGATATTTTTCAAGTTCTAGTTTGGAAAAAAAATCATCATCATATAAATTATTTATTATTATAATTTAGTTTATTTAATTTAAACTAATATTGATTATATAATTTATAGGTTCATTTATTTTTTAGTAAAACTACAATAGGTAAACTTGGCAATTACTAGTAAAAGAAATACAAAAATATGAAAATTGTCAAGTTTATTTTTTAATTTATAAAACTTCAATTTCTTATTTTAAAAAAATTATAGAAATTGATAGATCAAACAAATAATATGTATTAAGTTTTATTTATTTTATTTTATTTTTTTTAAGGTGAAGTTTTGCCTTTATCTTTATTAATATTTTGTATTAAGAATCTACTATGGGTTTCTCTAGCCAGAGCCAAGTTACAAAAATTTTACAAGAATGAAACTTAGATTACCAGAAGCTATCTAAACTAGAAATTCTAATTCATCTGCAACCTAAACCTACTAGAGTGGTTAAAACTCACTTAGATTTGATAATATAAAATGTTATTAGTTGGTGTACTATATTTAATCTATATGATAGTCCATAGTGATATTTTTCTGATTGCTTTTCTAAGGGGTGGACATGTATTATTATCATGTTGTTGGTCAGGTAGCCTACAGGGGCAGCTGTATGTGTGTGGTATTCTGCAGTAGGTTATATTAGGATTGGTTGTTCTATAAGAAGTTCTTGAATTGCGATTAGGTCTAGAAGGTATGTTATTTTGTTGTTTCCATTCTGAAAGTTTAGTGCAGTATGATATCCATATCTGGTTGTATGTTTTATGAGATTTGTATAAGAAGTTGAATAGTTGTCTTTGTTGCAGCTTGGTTAGAGTTTGTATATTCTCTTATAGATTGTATAAGAGATGTTGAGATAAATCTTTGAATAGTTGTGTATAGGTTAATGTTATTATATCGGTTGTTAAATGAAAAGCATTGGTGATTTATAAGTGTATTATATAGATCTTGTATTTGAGTATTGGTGATTTTTATGTTTGAGTGATGAAGGAATTGTTGTATAGTATTAGTAATAAGTGTATTTATTGTGGATATATCCAAGCAGGTAAGTTAGTGTTTTTGGTTTTCTCGAGCTTCACATGTTATATAGTTGTTATTTGGGATTATTGATGGATATAATGTGTGTTGATGTATTAAAGTAGGAAGTATATCCAGTATAAGTTTGATTTTGAATGTTTTTTGTTGGCATAGTTTAAAGTTGGTATAGGTAGTTGATCTTTTGTAGTTGTTGTTTAGATAGAGCCAGGTTGCGTTCTAGTTAATTTGTAGTAATAGAGGTATTGTGTTGTCCATACGATGTTGAGATAACCACATTGCCATAATGTAAGCATATTACATATTTTTAATTGATTTACGGGTTAGTTGTTGAAATATGAATTGTTGGTATTGGATAAGATATGATAAGTTGTATTTGTTATTGTCTATAAATTGTAGTGTAGCTAAATAATTAGTTTTTTTTCTAGTCTGTCTGCTAGATTGTTAAAGATGTTGTCACTATGTGCTGTAACCTTCTCTAATTGAATATCTAGTTTATAAGCTTTAGTAATATTAAACAAAGTGTGCCATATAGGCCAGTAATTATATAAGTATTATTTGTTAGATGATGGTGGTGATTGTTTAAGCTTTTTATACTTAGATATAATTGATTGTGAGTCTGTATATATTGTAATAGAACTGTTTTTGGGCATATACTGATAGTGGAAAGTATAGCAATAAGTGCAGCTTTGTATGACGATAGCCAGAGTTGGATTTCTGCTGAGTATGTGTAGATAATTGTGTTATTTTAAGTTTGGACCCAGCTGATTCCTATAGTACAATATTCTGTGGTGATATCTTTAACTGAGCTGTCTGTATAGAAAGTAAGTTGTGAGTAGATTGAGTTGTTTTGTGCAATTTGTGATAGTAATTGTGAAGATTAATTGTTATTAAAGATTTCAAAAATTGCATTGTCTTGAAGTTTAATAGTAGGTTTAGTGATTGAACCTGGGTTGCATTAACCCGGGTATACCCGGGTGGGTCGGGTATCCAGGTTGTAATTGTGTCTACCTGGGAAGGGTTAGACGGGTAGACCCGTGGATCTACCCGCGGGTTACCCGTAAACCAACCTATGAACCAACCTGCTGTTATAGCTGTTCTGGAACACCTGATAAAAATTTGCCAAATGCATTAAGTTTTGATTTCGGCATAATTGATTCAAACTGATATGTATAATTTAAGACATTTAAGATCTGATATTGATATTGTAACTGTTGTTGAGAGAGCTAAATAGAATTATGTGAAATGAAGGCCAATTTAACCCCAACAGTGTACAGTGAGATAATGATAAACTTGAAGAAACGAAGGAAGTCATTTATACTGTCAAAGGTCTATTAGACAGTATGACACTATGAAGTGAAAGATTTAATATTAAGAGAGATGATAATAGGGCAATGCAACTACAAGTGATGCTGTTAGGGATATCTCAATAAGGATGGTAAGATAAAAGCGGACGATAATCAAGTGATGTTAGTGATAACTTTAAGTCCACGTAAGTGATTAACAAGGTCAAATAGCCAATCATAAGTATCGTTCTATACCACAATTCTCGCAAATCACTAATGTGAATGGCAATATCTGATTCTACAACTGTTCTAGAATCTGAGTCTTAATAATCCAAATCGAAGTTACAAGTCAATTCAGTCCATTGAATTGAGTCTCGAAAGGGTTTATTAAAGTTACAAGTCGAATTCAAAGACAAAGTCTCAAAGGAAAATTCAGATAAGTATATATTTTATTATTTTGTGATAATTAAAAGTGGACATGAATTACTAACTATTTAACACTAACTACTGTAATTGATTCATTCCTGTAATTCCTTCCCCGTTTGTTTATTAAACTCATGGTCCTTATATACATTTTAATTTCTAGTAACGTAGACACCGCAATTGTGGTGTTTACACTAAAAATATAACGTAGATGTAGAAATTCAGGTGTATGCACTGTAAAAATAACATATATACCGAAAGATCTCAAGGCGCAGTCTTTGTGCAATCATGTATATGTGGCTTTTTTGGTGTTTACATGATTTATCTGTACTAAGCTACTCATTGTTATCATTTTAGTATAAGTTATGAAATAATCAAGAGAAATTAATAGATATACTAAAATTGGGCATTGTTACCAGAATGGATGGAGAATTACTAATAAACTATGTATATGCAGATATTTTACTGAGAAAATAAAGAAACTATTTACAATAATATAAAAAAATAAAAATTTAATTCGTTACAATATACATATTATAAGACTAGCAATTTCTCTGGCAAATAATTGAAAAAAATTTATTAATTCGAGAATTGCTAAACACTAGCCATTAGAAGATCTTCTACAAGTCAAATTTCAAATGCTTTCAAAGATATGATTGCATTGAAAACAAGTAATCTACGTGTCTAATTTTTTTGTTAAAACAAAGTTAAATGTTTTCGAATACATTATAATTAAATATGTAATAAAATACTATTTTATTATACTTAGAATAATTTGCTTATAGATTGGTTTGGTTGCATTTATATCTCCCTCAAAGTTAATACCATACAGTGCAGACCACAGTATTCCCCAAATCAAAGTACTCCCTCAAAAAAATTATGTAGTTGAATGTAAAATACTCAGCAGGTATATCATATGTATAAAATTCCGGGTACTAACTTGGATTTTGTTCGTGAAATGTATCATATTCGGGGTACTATGATCTGTGCTGTAAAGTAATTCACTATATATATTTATATTAAAGAGGATCTTGCATTGATTTTTTTATTCTGACCAGGGTTTGACAGATAATCTTTGTACCCAGGTTGTATTTTTTAGAACGGGTACAATCACTAAGTAGGTTGTATAGATATAGTAGTTGGGTTACATAATGCAAGAGAGTAAATTAGGTCTAGCAGGTTAGCGTTAAGGTTTAGTGTAGTTTTATTTTCTATATATTTTGGTCT